TCAAGCTTGAAGCAGTTGATATGTTTACATTAGTAGTGACAAACTTAATCTAGAGAACAGGAAGAGTAATAAAATACGAGGTCAAACACACAACTTATTACTCAAAGAGCTCTTGGTGTGCCTGTCACAGCACAGCTCAAAATGTGTGGGTTTTTTTCATTCAACTTTTATTTATACAGGTTAATCCCATTGAGCCTCGGGGACTCATTTACAAGAGAGACCTGATTTTAACAGTGATGACAACAGTAGACAATCATAAAAAGCATACAAATTGAGAAGAACAAATTTTAAAAAATGGTATTTAAAAATAGACTTGGTTAACTTTGAGGAAAATTTAATTTTCAGATGTAAAAAAATTTGGTAAATCTTCCTCGGATAAAAGTCAGGAGTTAAATCTCCAAGGACAATATACAGATTTTGTGACCGAGATAAAAAATGTCACAATAAGTGGACCATGGTCCAAGATGACCTTGACCCCATAGTCACACTCTTTCACCAAAGGCAGAATTAATTGTCAAGAAAACAATAGTCGATTTGGGAGCATGTCTTATGGACTGCGGGGAAAAAAACAAGTATAATCTTGAAGTAGGATTATGGAAGCGCCACACATCAGCCACTGCCACACCATATGATTCAAGGAATGAATTGATTGATTGAGCTGACTTAGTCAGGGTAGTTTTCCCCATTGAACTATGGTCAAGAGATGAAAGCACACAATTTGTGTCACCACAAGATTATGTGTTGACATATTTGTTATGTTTGAGAAGAGGTTATTAAAAATTGTAGTCATCCCAGTTGGGAGCATATACCGAAACTAAGATCAATGACAACGTGTACAACTTTCCCACCACTACAACATACCGCCCAGCATTATCAGCATGCACACACAAGGCTGTAAATTGTACCTGCTTACCAACTATAATAGCTACCCCTCTTGATTTGGATTGAAAACTGGACTGAAACACTTGACCAGACCATATTTTAACAAATTTTCCACTATGAGCACACATAGATTCGATTCGATTTCAATAACTGGTTCCTGCGTTTTGGATTCGGCTGGTTGCTGGTTTTATCAATCAATCAAGGAAGTCGTTGGCAGCAAATTTGGACCTGATCATGCTGCTTGCCTTGATGATGGCTTGGTTCGTGTCTTGAGTACCCAGACTCAAATGCTTTGGGCTGAATGGATCAGATTTTGGGGATTTTACTCAGGCACGTTCCTTCAGTGTGGCCATGTATTTTGGACATTTCGGAACTGAGTGGACCAACACAGACTCAAGGTAGATGTCATTAAGTTCTGCCTGTCCCCAAAACAACTGTGTGTTGAAGGACTCTTGGATTCTCATAGACATTATTCTTGGCCATTCCTCGACATACCTCGAGAATGTTTACGGATCTCACCGGAGGACATTGACTGATTATTCCATCCTTATCAGAACTCTTACAGTGACCTCGAGAGCATCTATGAACATGCTCACCTCTCTCGGCTACCCCCTCTGCAGAATGTCTATGTCACTATGTGCTTGTTTGTGCGAGGTGTTTTTTTAATATTAGGTTTTTTATTCTCTCAGGCAGGGGAAAAAATTCTGATGGGAATTTTTTTTGCCTCCAACTCCTACATGTGTCCATTTTATCACTTTTTTGTCTGTCCAAACAGGTCGCACTTGTAAATGAGTTTTTTAGGCTCAAAGTGATTTATCTGTTTAAATAAAGGTTGAATGAATGAATAGGTCTCCTGTAAAAAGGCAAAATCAGTGTTCATATGCTTTCGGTATGACATCATTTTCCAGAATTTTACTCGACCATTAAGGGATTTTTCGTTCCAGCTTACACACTTAACTGGTCAGCCACTAGAGTGAACAACACTCTTAACACTGGTCATAGCTGAACAGCAAGAAATAATTTACATAAAAATATCACAAGCCAGTACCTGATAAAACAAGCAAAAAACAAAAGACTGATCCGGTATAAACCCACCCCTCTCTCATACCCGAACATAGAGAGAACAAAAATCACTGTCAACTGAAAATCCACTCATTAGTGCTTAGAGAACACAATCCAACCATCTGGACTCCTGTCTGCCCACATGTACTATAAAAGTAACTAAAAAACAAAAAAAATAAACATCAAAATATGCAAATATTACTGTAAATATCAAACATGTACAGCAATCAACTCAGAACATTAACACTGTGGAATCACTGACCAATAGAGTTGCATTTGGGCCCAAAAAATCAGATCCAACCCGGCCCCAGCCCGCAGACGTAATTTCCAAACCACATCCGACCCGATGAATTAACAGTAATTACAGGTCCAAACCCGGAAAAAAACTCAATATTTTTAATTAATTATTAATGGTCAGGGTCGCGCAGCGATATAAAAGTGGCAGAAGATTCGGAGCTGAGAGATGTTTGTACTTTCATGGCCATAAAAAAGCAGTTAAACTGTTTCTGCCTGCATTCTTCTGAAATATTGAGACACGCAGACAGCTCTGACACACCTGTTTGGGTCATCGGCCGCGTGCGTCCGCTGAGTGCAGCGGCAGAATGAATGTCCATTTGGGCGATGGATCGCTGCCTGGCAGTACAGTCCCATCTGAAGCTTAACTGAACTTTGTACCTCTTTCAAGGCCAGTCAGCTTGCAGTGAAATGGCTGCGTGCGGCTGGTGGATGTATGGCAGGCCATGTTATCATATAATTGGATTGCGGCTGATCCTGACCAAATTAAAAGCCTGAGACCGGCCAGGCCTGCCCATTAATCACATTGTAACAGCCCGGCCCAGCCCTAATCCAGGTCAGTCCGGGCCGGGTTTTGGGATCGGGTTAGAAATGACAGCTCCAATACAACAAATAAAAATAAATAAGAGAAAATAAAAAAGATAAGAAAAACGCTCCTATAATAACAGAACTTACGGTAATCAATTTAAAGCGTTGACACTGTACACTTGCCCTCCAATACAAATAAAATGTTATACATACCACCTACAAAGGACCACAGCCAACTACTGAGTCAAACATAAGCTTAAGAAAAGATGCCGGTTGAGGGAGGCCAGTCCTGTGGTTTATTCTGATTTATTTTGATCCTCGCTGACTGTTGTTGGAATGACATTTTTCTTGACATAATCCATCGCTTTAATGCAGTCGACAAAAATCTTGTCCATCCCTCCACGCATGATGTGAAGCCATGCGGGAAAAAGAAGACCATACTGGACACCTGGTAGGTTTCACCGAAGTCACCTCACCTCCGTGACCGCCACTCATGCCCTCGCCACTCCCAGGGTGTAGTTTACTACGATGAATATGGATGATTCTTTGAAGTGGATCGGGCCACCATTGCACGCTCGTTGTAATATTTACACGCACTCTTGATGATAATGATGAAGCCTGGCCACGATAACTCCCAATCTTCCATCTGAGTATCTTCTGCCTGGTGTCTGGTACACATGATCAGTCAGTAGCAATTTGTCCAATTTCAGCACCTCCATCAACATTTTCACTATCATTGTATAGGCATGCATTGTTGCATATTGTCAAGTTTCACATTTCCCTCCAGGGATTCAAGCTGTTTTTTCAGCCCATCGACCTCAGCACATCACTAACATTTTTGACAATAAAACTTTAAATGACAGTCAGTTTTATATTACATTATAATTTGCATAGCCTTCCACTGTGGCTTCAATTTGGCTCAAACTATATGTTGGCATATCAGTCTAGTTAGAATTAAACCAAAGTAGTTCAAAGAACTACAGCAGTTAGAACAATAATTGTTCATAACTTTCCCACAAAACCCTACTTGAAAAAATTTGAACTATCCCTTTAACAGCCACTAGTATCCAAGTCACACCTAAACCAATATACTGATTAAACTGGGACTGGGTTTTTGGAGATGCAACAGGATATTCACCATTTTTTCCCCACTGCCTTCATACACACGCTGCACCATCAACGACCACTTTGTATCTTTTATGTGTTCAAATATTTTTAAAAAGATTAGGCTATGCAGAGGAAATGGCAATAGAGAACAGTGTTTCTGAAAAACTTATTGTATTTATGTTGGTTGTCCAACACATCCGAGTTCATGAGAAATCCAAAGAAAGTTGTACACAGGTGTTAAAACTGCCCTGGAAAGAGCTGTCGTCACAGTCTAACAAAGACCCTCTGAGAAAAGCCTGTAGGTTTAGTCTCAGACTGTGACTAAATGTTTTCTTTTAATATTTGTCACCACAGTTAGTGCTGAGTGAAGTTTTCACACCTATACGACAATGAGTCAAAAGCAGATGTCATTTTTACTTTATTTTAAATGAAAGCAAATGTTTAAATAAGAATTGTAATCCTAAAAGTCACTTTAAAATATCAGTTTACCGCCCCCAATTTCCCAGTGTGGAGTTTCACGTTGAATATAAAACGTTTGTTAACAAACCAGAAGTTATAAATCACGTTTAAACTAATTTCTCTATAAACTCTTTTATGCTTTAATTTAATTTGAAAAAAATATGGAAGCAGTAACACACGCAAGTTGGAGTGCATGACATCACCACACTCTAAGTAGACCATTCTGTGGTACAATGGTAAAAAAAATCTGAAAACTTAAAGTGCAATTGTATAAAAACATAAAATCTAAATATATTTCTGACTAACTAAGTATTTCACTGTTTCATATACACACTAGTTCATGTGGAGTAAATATATTTATATTAATGCTTCATTAATGCATTAAATATAGTTCATATTAATGCTTCTAAATATCCTTGTATTCATACGACCTGATTATTATACCCAGGCCGGGTGCTAGAAGAAGTGATCTTTATAAATGTTGTCTGGGTTCAGGTTATATTTACTCTTAGCAGACTCCATCTCCACATCTATCTCTCCCTTCCTCCATCGGTCTCTCCCACCCACCCGGGTGACTCCACCCTGCAGCACATAAAAGCTCTGTCCACAAGGTGCATCTCTCAAGGGTGCACATATGCCAGGGTTTCCTGTGTGCTGCTGTCTGTCAGCCTGCTAATTCTTTCTGTTGGTCAGTGTGCAGTGATTATCCTCCTATAATCAGCCACCCAAAGAGGTAAGCTTAAGCCAGGTGTTCATTTCCACCTGATTTAATCTGCTTTTTCTTGCATCTGTCTGGTGACTCTTTTAAATAAGGGAATTTAAGTTTTGTCATTTTAATTGTAAATAAATGCTGTTGGTGAATTTTAGCTCAATGCATTCATTATAACAGTCAAAACTATTTCTGCACAATCATATAAAATAGTGATAACTGTTGTAACTTTTCCAGTTTTACCTTAAACTCATTTGTGTGTTTTGGTACAAAAATAATCTGGTAGCTTAAGAAGCATTTTATGACCGATCATCTAACTTAGACAAGTCATTCAAGCTGATGCTTGCACAGGATCTGTGTGATGTATGCATCCATTTTTGAGAGGCAAATATCCATCCGAAGCATGCATGAGTGCAGAGAGTTGAGGCCAAACTGGCAGGTGAATGTGATTTGGGCGAGAGCAGCAGTTTGGTGAGAAGAGACAGCAGAGTAAACAACACTTTTGGCCTAGATGCTCAGTGTCTTCCAGCTGATGTGCTGAATAATGCTCCTTTTTCTCCCTAACATCCTTGCTGCTGGCAGTACCAGCTCTGTGAATCCTTTGCGACTACCTTGAATCTTGTTAAACGTCAAGCCTCCTGAACTGATACTTAGGGGGAGGAGCCTGAACTCAGATAGATTTCAGATTGATTGATTGATTTTCAGGCTACGCATGAAAGATAATTTGATTGGAAGTTGTCCTTATGTTTTTTAGCCCATTGTTAACTATTTATACATATCTATATAAACAAATAATCAGAGATGGTTCTTTACTTCCATCCAAAAAATAAAAACCTGATATGGGTCAGCTACATAATGGCAACATGAATATCACCATGAAATGCAGGTGATCATGCAGTTACCTATGGTTGTGTGCTTGTGTGAGCATGTGAGTGTGTTTGTTTTTCTGTCTGTTAGCAAAATATCCTATGAACCACTGGATGAATTTTATTAAAACTAATAACGTTCCCACTGGATGCACATCTAGAACTGATTAACTTTTTATGTCAACCTGTTTGAAGGTGGCCGCCATAGCTAGCCACTACAAAAATGACTTTAGGTCGGCAGGTTTTACAGATAATACACTAAAATTTGATGTGGTGTTAGCTGAGAGTCATCGCCAACATACAATCTACAGTATGCACAACATTGTTTGAATCATTGGGATTAACTGTTGAAATCAACATTGTTTGTTCACAAAATATTTCATGAATCACGACAGTTTTTGATGAAACGTTCTTCATAAAGATGGCAATAACTCGGTCAGTTTGACAGATACTGAACTATAATTTTATCAGAATCAGCTTTGTTGTCATTGCACCGGAGCACAACAATATTACATTTCATTTACAGACGTCTTAGCGAACACAACAACAGACATGGGGAAGACGGAGGTGGCTGAGGCTGCCGGCCTCGGGAGGCGCAGCCCTTTTTACAGATAAGAAAGAAGAAACATGAAGGGAGAGGAGGTTGAAAAATCTAATCTTGCATTGCGTCCTACAGGACACATTGTGAGAATTGCAAAAAAAGACCCCAGCACAAATAACACATACTGATGACATCATAATACATTTATGCATAGGGCCAACGAGGGCAGTGAGTTTGTCCAAGGACACTTCCAGAAGTTCCACAGTTTTGATAAATGGTAAATGGACTGTACTTATATGGTGCCTTTCTGTCTTATCAAGATACTCAAAGCTCTTTACAACACAATCTGTGCCTCATTTACCCATTCATACAGCACTCTACTAGATCTATACAAAGCTAATTGAACAAATCATTCTAAAGAGACTAATCAGAGCTTTATCACATTCATGCACCGATGGGAAACACACTGGAAGCAACGAGGGGTTCGGTGTCTTGCCTAGGGACACTTAGGCATGTGACTGCTGGTGGATTCGAACCCCCAACTTTTGCATTGGAGGATGACTGCTCTAACCACTCAGTCACAGTCGCCCAATAATGATAATAGATGGTACAGTGTCTATCCACTGGCTCCATTCTGATAGGTCCACAAACATCCTCAGGAGGGGAGCACATAAACCAGCAGGAGGAGATTGTGATAGTTGGCCAATTCATGGCCAGTGGGGGAAGTCAGATTAGATAACAATTATTTTGGGTCACACAGACTCTGCTTGACTTCATGTCTGCCTTTAAAGTTCTGCTGGTACATCTCAGTGGTGATTCCAAACAACCAAATTTGTGGTCACACCACCGGGCCGAGCTTGTATCCTTCTCCAAGGTCAACTCCTTCCCACCAGTGAGTTCCAGGAGCCACAAGTGGGCTGAGATTCTCAGAAATCGCATCCAGCTTATGGTTCAGCTCACACAGCGTCTGAGACTGAGTACTTATCGCTCGATACATTCTTTCATACAAGCCGGGCAGCCTTACCAAGGCCAGAGCGGTTGCCGACATTTTCCGCATTTGTTGATAAAACAGGTAACTGCCAACACCAAAAAGCAGAAATCCTGTTATCATGAATTCAATATGTACACGTCACGTTCTCCTATGAAGCTCCTGTTTCCTGGCATATATTGCAAAAAGACCTGAAGCTTTCGACCTTGACCTCTCTAAGTGACTTTAAACATCTGATAAGTTCCTGGCAAAAACCAATGCAGACATGTTCCTGTTTTTAGTTTTCTAAATCGCCTTATAATCTAGCTGTTTGCTGCTATTCCTCTTGATTGTCCTTTTGGTTGTTATTTTGTTTTGATTGTTTTGATTTGTAAAAAAAATAAATAAATAAATAAAGATGGAGAGAAACTCAAATTTGTATACCTATGCCTATTTTATGACTGTCTGTTGTTGTCGTTGTTATTCACTGTTGTCATCACTTTTTGTTAATAAATCAGGTCTCTCTTGTAAATGAGTCCCCGAGACTCAATGGGATTAACCTGTCTAAATAAAGGTTGAATGAATCTTCCACTAACCCCAGGAATCCATAGTATATCCAGCAGCAAGTCTCTCACCCGGACAAGAGGGTTCTCCTTCACCCTGTCTTCTCATTGAGAAAATTTTGTCAGTTGCGTTGAGACCAGCTGACCTGAGCCATAATAATTTACAGTTTGGAGGATATGTGAGAGGCTCCGATAGGGATAACAGGACAAAGAGCAAGCAGGTAAAAAAGAAAAAAGTGCCGGTATCAGAGTCATTACCATACTTTGTTCATTATTTATCCACATGCACTGTTGTCTTTGCTTTCTCTGTTTTTAATGTGATCTGTGTGCATGAAGCTCTAAGGTCAAATAATCTGTGAACATTTTATTATTACACTGTTTTCCTACGCAGTTGTTTCACGTTGATTAGTGTTTTTGGTTTATTTGTTCCTTCTCTTTATTTTAATTGGATTATAGTATAGGATCAGTGAATGGCCCAGTTGACCTGAGTGTGTGAAAGGTGCTGAAGAAGATGAGATCTTAAATTTTAGCCAGTTTTCTTCAACAAGAAGTGACCTTTTGAACGCAGTGTGTGCTCATACAACATTGCACCCCCATTTATGCGTTATTCAGCAACCTTGAGGAATGCGCCGGGACAAAAGGGTGAAAGAATGCTGTGAAAACCAAGAATGGTGGTCGAGAAAAGGAGGCAAACACTTTGGTCATTTAGGTGCACAGCTGTGGCAAAGTGTGTGCAGGCGTGTGAGCAGAGTAGCTGCGGTATCAGCGCTTGTTTTACAGAAAACATTTGCTGCGTGATTTGAAGAGGAGGTAATTTTACAAGGTACGCTTTGTTATAAAAACTACGTTCTGAGAGATGAAGGGCTACACATATATTGCAATTTTTTTTTCTCTGATAAAATCCATTCTAAAGGCACTTAGGCTAAGTATGAGCGCTGCTGGGTTAAGTCTGGCAGATGGTTAAGCAGAAAAGTCAAATGCCATTTTGCTGAATACCTTAAATCATATACAAAGTATGTCAAAATCAAGGCCCGAGGGCCATATTGACATCTTATCTGGCCCCCAAAGTGATATGTGAAACGTAAAATACTGTTTTCACTTGAATTTTTTCAGTAATTTTTGATTATGATGTTAAAAGCACAACAGAGAAGATCAAATGAGACCAATCAAACACTTGTTGAGGAACATGTGACCAAGACAAGATGTTGGGTATCTAACTTGAGTTAATGTAGATTCTGAAATTGGCCCTTAGTTTTAGAAAGGTTTGAATTTTGGCCCCCTTTTCTAATTGTTTGACTCCCCTGCCTTAAATGCCTTAAATAGTTCAGATTATTTTGAAATGGGGTTATATGGAGAGCTTGTGAACAATTAATATCTTACCTGTTGTAGTTAACTCTTTGAACTGTTTCAGTCTGGAGAATTAATAATTTAATTCTATCCAATTTGACAAGCTATCAACTAGTCCAAGTGGAGCAAAGACCAAAGAGAGTTGAAACATCTGCAGTCTCAAAAAGTTTAGTGCTTTATGAAAACATTATTTTATAAACACTTACCTCAGAACTTTTGATGTCTCTGTTGGAAGTGTCCTGGACTGTTATGGGAGTGCTTTAACTATTTGTTCCTAGCATTTGCACATAACCAGAAGATTTTATGTAACTACCCATCTAATGTAAAAGTGGCCATGATAAAAGGTTTATGAAATCAACCTTCAGATGAATTGCTATGAAGTTTATAAGATTAGAGTTGTTTAAACAACAGTAGCCACCTTAGTATTAAGGTTTAAACTAGCTGTTCACTCATCAGTCTGTCCAGACTATATGCACTTGCACAAACTAGTTCTGTAAAATGGCAACGAAGACGAGTTTGTCTTTAAGTTGCCTCTGATTGTGTACAACTTACCCACAAATAAATGTGAACTTTCAGAAATGAAGCCAACATTTTGGAACTAAAAGAAGAACAGAACTCAGCTGCCTTCATGTGGAGCGCAACACTGACCAGGTTGATGCACATCTCCCTCAGATCCTTTGCTAAACATAATGAATTAACTCAGTTTAGCAATCTATTTTGTGGTTAACTAAATTCTTTAA